GAGATCAAACATTTGCTTTTGTTTATTTGCAATTAATCAATAGAGATAGAAATCAGTATCCCTAAGACAGAGATCAGCCTATTGATTGGACATCCAGGATAAACACAGTTATTCCTTGTCTTATAAATAGATAGAAGAGACTCTGTAAGATAGCAAAAGTAAATAAAACAACCAAGGAAAAATAACCCTCACTATATGCTTAAAGACTCCAATTTCAAAATCTCTATTTTATTTCGTTGAATGTTTATTTATATGTGATGTGTACGCTTACACATATGCATGTTTGCCTGTGTGGGCTCATGTCTGTGTGCCCCCATGTGAGACCCAAGGTTGATACTGGGTGTCTTCTGCAATGCCTCTCTACTTTAGTTACTGGGCAGAAACTCCCAGAGCTCTCAAATTCTGCTAGTCTGGCTACCATGTTGCCTTAGGATCTCTTGTTTCCACTTTGAGAGCATGGGATTCCAAGTGGGCTGCCCTACCCACCACGCATTTAACGTGGCTTTGGAGGTAAGCACTCAGCTTCTCAAACTTGCCCAAGAAGCTTGTTTACTAGCAAAACCACCCGGCCCCCAGCCTCTACCAAGGTCTGTTCACAAACACTTCAATGTAGTCAGTGGTGATGGTGTCGCAGCTTTGTATAGGGACAAAATATTCCAGGTATGCATTCAGCGTTTCTGAGTGGAAGGTGGGGTTGAGGCTGTTGAGAGTCTAAGTTATAGAATTTACATGATATAGTGGAACCTCTTTGGTAACAATGAAAATATTTTGTGGTATTCGTGATGTTGTATGATATAATACGGCTAACTCATTTTAAACATGGTGAGTTTGGTCTTTAAAAATCACATTGAGAAGTTTGACTTCTGGATTCCGTATCTGCAACTAGAACTTTTTCTTTCGTGTTTTCTGTTTATAGTTGGCAGTGGTAGCTGAGACATTTAGCTACACAGTCAAAAAATACTGGCTTCAATAAATGCAACGGCAGCTAATGTTAAAGGTAAAATTCAAGGATGTTTGTGGAAGAGTAGTTAGAAACTTTGTTTAGGATCATTACGTAATTTTAGAGACCCATAGATGTGGACTTTGAGTGGGTAGGAGACTCTGCCCCTTTCCTAATACAGCAGGGGCAGCTGGGAGCTCATGAGCAGGGGAGGGTGAGAAGAACTCACCATCCGCTGCTGACTCCATGGGCAACTCAGATGTGGAAGGAGTTGATTGATCAGACATGTTGGACACAAGTGAGGGGCTGGACTAGAGGGTCTTGTTACACTGACTTAGCACTGAAACTGGAGCTTAGAAGTAAACATAGGACTTTTCTTTCTTTCTTTCTTTCTTTCTTTTTTTTTTTTTTTTTGGTGGAACTGGTCCATCCAGAGAGAAAGTATATACCTATATATTCTGAAGATTGCACTTTGGAAATCAATTTAACCTGAACGTTCTGAGACACTATTAGCGGAATAAGCATTGTTGCAGGAATCTCTTCTGAGTAGCTAGTTAGAAAGGGGCAGAGCTTAATGACAGAGCATACTTGAAAGCTGTCTGATTTCAAAGCATTAGCAAGTTGATATTGTTAGAATCCTACTGATTTTTTAGAGGAACATTTTAAATATGATTTTTATGATTTATGCTGTTTCATCTGCTATTTCTTGCTTTTTATAACCTAGTATTGTCTCACTGTTATATCTTTACAACTTGTATAACATCCACGATTAGTTTTGCTAATCACCTTTTTATAATTCATTTCGGATCAATTGACCTTTTATTGTATGTTCTTTACTTCTGGGGTTCCCATTTTCATACGACGGCTCTGACTTAAGTCTTGTGCCATGGGATGATAGTTTCATGAGTGCAATCCAGACTGTTCGCTTTTCCCTCTAGTTGATTTGCTTTTCGGCATGAATTATTGAATAACGCTGACATTTCATGCACTGTGATTTAATCTGGAACAAAACCAGGCATGCAGAGAGTGTGTACTGAGTAATCTTCTAGGGCCTGCGTCTTTTCTCCAGGCTTTATTTGGATGGAGGAGCAACTGTGTGAGAGTCATCTTTGCTTGGCTATATAGGAGAAGGAAAGCTCTAAAAATGTCAGCTCTGTGTCCCCATTACTCATCTGACATGTAGCATGGAGGAGAGATGCCCCCCCACCTCCCTCCAGTCAATGCCCGGGACAGGTGGAGTGGCTGGCCCTGGGGTCATAAGAGCAGGAGGGCTGTCCCTACCCTTCACCAGCTGCAGCCCTCGGGAGAGTGGCCCCGGTACCATCCATGCCTGGGCATCACGGTAGAGCTGGTCCTGGAGTGCAGGTGGGGAGAGGGACCTGAGGGCTGGAAAGCAGAACCTGCCTCACCCCTAGCTCATGACTTAGTGAGGGGAGGGGCAGTGCTGGAGAGCTCACCCTGGTGGTGAGGACAGGGGACATCTGGCTGGCGGACCACCCTGCAGCTGATCAGGGTTATGCTTGGCCCGCCCCAACAACTATCCTGTCTGTGATCTGCTGCAGCAAGTGATCTGACCCACAGACCCAAAGCTGTAGGATCTCCACGGCACAGGGCAGCAGCAGGATGTCCAGAAGAGCCCCAGTGAGGACCCAGCATCCGTGGCGTAGCAGAGCCCAGAGGCATGGAGCCAGACCTGTGTGTGGCTCTTTTCAGTCGCCACTTGCAAGTAAACACACGGACAAAGGGGCTGACTGTGTGACTCACAGTGTCACTGCAGCTCCCATGGCGAGATTCTTAACTTCCCTTTTTTCTCTTAAATTTTGCTTTATTTGGGGGAGCATTGTAGGGGCAGAGGACAGATGCAAAGGGAATGGGAAATGAATGGGGTCAAGGTACATGATGTAAAAGACACATAAATAAAATAAAAAATGTCAGCTCCAACAATCTCCTGGGAAGACGTATTTCTGTTCTTGTTCCTTTGGAGAAAGGAATGCCATGCCCGCTGCGCTGCCTGTGTCCGAGATCGTGCGGAGGGTGTCAGGGATTGACAACACATAGACCCGAATGCTCCTCAAGAAGGCTCTCTCTTATTCCTATTCTGGCTTGTTATTATATACCCTGACACCAGAGGTGGGGATGGGTGGTCAGAAGAGGCGGATAGTCTTTGGGAAGGTCAGGGCGGTTCCCGTGGGCCAGCCCTTTTCAGGAACTTATTGCCCCGGGCATTGTATTGTTTTTAGTAAACGTGTTTTTAGTAAACATTGTCTTACAGCTGCCTACTCCCACACTGATGGGGAAGTGGGTCTCTGCTCAAGGTCTGGTGTCCCCACAAAGGAAGTCTTGGCAGTGTCTGACACCGAAAGAATAACCAAATTTATTTTGTATTTCACCATAGGACAGGATATGAGATAAGGATCTAGTGTTTTATTTTGCGTTGTATGTTTGACTCCCTCTGTTGGCTACTTTTGAAACAGTGGAAGGAATTTATTTTCTCATCCAGATAAGCAACTGATATATATTTCACTTATGAATGGGAGGGTTAAAATAATATTATGATGGGCAAAATTAACATTCTTTTTAAGATTTTTAGCATTTTGCACTCCACCAGAAATAGGGGCCAGTGCCGGTTTTCCTACAGACAGCATGTAGTTAAGTGTTTGAATTTTTACCCAGTCTGGTACGTGAGAAAGGATGTCTCGCTGTGGTTTAAATTTGCACTTCACTGTTTGCCTGTGAACCTCAGCATCTCTGAGTATGTGTCCCGTGAGTTGTTTGACCTTGTCTTTTGCCCATTGTTTACACTGGAGTTTTCATATCCCCCCCCCAAGTGTAGTTCTTCAGATGCCCGAGATGCAGGAGGAAAGATGGATCTGTTTCTGTGTGCACACGCGTCTGCCCTTGTTCCTTTGGGATGTACACACTGTACCTCTTACATTTATTTACATATCTATTTATTTGTGCATGTATTTATAAATCTAACATTTATGTATTTGTTCATCTATCCATCTATCCATCTATTTATTTGTTTGTTATTTATTTATGGTGTGTGCCTCGGTGTCGTGTCCAGTGTCCCAGAGTTGCAGGCCACCAGGTTTGGGGACAAGTGACTGTGCCTGCTAATCTATCTCTTTGGCCCATATCTCACTTTTCCTTTTGGAACATTTATAACAGTTTCGAAATTGCAGTAGTAGTTTAAATTGTTGTGTCAGCGTATTAGTCCATCCAAACAAGTTGTTTGCCAAATTCCAGACCCTTTGTTAGGTACTGAAGTGAATTTGTAGAATGAACCAAACCCATATTTTGGAGGCTATAGTTTAGAGAGAGAACTTAAAAACACAGATGGCAGTTTTAAAACTATAGCAGATGAAGTAATTAATAGCAGTTGGCCTTGCTGATCAGGAAATTTTAGGATAGCTAAATTTCTTTTGTGCATTGATAATTCAAATATTACTGTTTATTATTAGGTAATGTAATACTGGTCACAAGTAAATGCATTCCAGTGTAGTTGGTATCAATAAAGTTTGGATAGTGGGAGAACCACAAAACCTGCATTTTCCCAGATTATTTTAGTTTCAGAAGTAACCTTTCTTGCAGAGTGGTTTTCATTTTGGGTCGATATAGTACCTGGCTACATTTACGATCTTACTTAATACTGACACTTTGAACTAGTACATAAGGGATTTTCATGTCAATCGTTTAAAACGTTTGGATAAGGTGGTATTTATCACCTCAGTACCTGTGGTCGTTGTTACCAGAAGTTAGATGAGAAGACTAACAGGAACATGTTTCAGACTGAGGCCAGTAGCTCAGGCTGCTGATGATAAAAGGGCCACAAGAAATCTCTTGGTAAACAAATGAAGAATAATTAGCATTTGATCTAAAATTAGCATTTCCAGATTGTCTTTATGACCTGTAGAGAACTTTTCTCAAAACAACAACAACAGCAACGTCTCTCTAAATGAGTGAGCTGTGTGTCTGGCTGAGAGTACCCTCCTGCAGTAGTTGGCAATACTCTGAAAGGAAAAAGAATTCAACAGGTGTTTTGCTTTGTTTTTCTTAGACACTGGCCAAAAGAAGACCCTAGACAAGAAAGATGGGCGAAGGATGTCTTTTCAGAAGCCTAAGGGAACGATGGAGTACACTGTAAGTTACTTTGGCAAAAGCAACTCATCTTTGTAACAATCTTACTAAAGGCATTTCCTGTTTGACTACAGATGAGCCAAGTATTGTTAATTGTCTCACTTTAAGAGTCTGGCTTCTTTTGTGTAACTTTCCTGAATACTAACCCTTCAATTCTTAATTGCGTTTTATGATTTGTTTTCCTCACTGTGTCCTACAAAGACAGTTACTCTGGCAAATTAAATTTAATCCTGATGATGATTTAGAGTCAGAGTTCCTATGTTGCAATAGTTTTATTAGATTAGGCTTTTAGGCCTGTGTTTGCCTTTTGAGGAATGTTGTCTTGAGTGGGTTCCCAGCAGTGCTAATGTTAGTGCAAATGACAGGTAGGGACCTCACAGGCTGACTGTTTTCAGATCTCTGTCGGTTTGTTTTTGTTTGTTTGTTTCTTTCTGGTTACTGTGGACAGCCGAAGTGACAAACTAATTTTGGAGTATACTGTTTTGTTTACTTAGTTTACTTATATAAACATGATTGATTTAGATGGTGCGAAACATGTTTTAAGACAAATATATGAATTCAGATTAATGTTGTTACTTCGTGTTTTAATATATTATAACTATATTAAGGAGAAAGTAGCAGTCTTCCACGTAGTTAACATTTCTCCAGTGTTCAGAGCTTCCAGCATGAGTCTAAACTATTTACCATGAATTGTTGAACATTATCAAAAATTGAGTTATAGCTTACGCACACACTCTGTGTAATCTGTGTAATTGACATTTGTCATATTAAATATTTTCGAAAGGTTAGAATCTACTTATTTGGGCAGAATTAAACTAACAGCTGTCAAAAAAATTGGATTTAAAAGCCCATTACAACCCTAAATTATGTATGTTTGAGGTGAGAAAATGAGTTCAAATAGTAAAAGGTTAAGTAATGCAATTTAGTATATCCTTAAATATTTACAAAGGCATAAGATTTGAGACATAAGGTATATTATCGTGCTGTACCGATGTGCATGACATAGCTTTGATGTTCATGAACTGTAAAATTTTGTTGGTTTTGAATTTAGGAATTTGCCATTCTTGGCATGTAATAAAACATCTGAAGCAAAAATAAAATAAGAACCATTTATTGTGGAGTGAGGGCAGGTCATAAAAACCTGAAAAAATTTTCCTTCCTTTATGAATGACTCTTTAAAAACTCAAATTGGCCAACAATCATAAAAAGGTATACTAAATTAGCTTTTATTTATTTTTATTACACATGTCAAATTATAAAATGCAAGAAACACAAGATTCAAAACTAGATATTGTTTTATACTCTATTTTTCTATAATATTTCAAATACATAAAGTCTGTTAAATCTTTACATACAAAGACTGTATTGACTGCAGTATGTATTTCCATGTATTTGATTTATGATAAAACTTCTGTATCACAATGTACTCTGGAGGCTGAGACAGGATTGTCTGAACTCAAGAGTTCAGGAACTTGGCCAAGCCATTTGAAAAATATGTGTTATCTAGCTTAAATATATTCCCAATAATACCTTGTATAGTATAAAGTTAATTGTATTTTAGATAGCCTAAAAGTTAAAATCAGATCTGTCTCTGTCTCTGTCTCTGTCTCTGTCTCTGTCTCTCTCTCTCTCACACACACACACACACACACACACTCTCTCACACACACACACACACACACTACAGTTTTAATTGTAAAATCACTTTCTGTGGGAATTAAAATGCTATACTTGCAGTCTGTCTGGGAGTGTCTCAGTTGGTGAGCACTGGCCTTGTGAGCACGTGGGGTGTCTCAGTTGGTGAGCACTGGCCTTGTGAGCACGTGGGGTGTCTCAGTTGGTGAGCACTGGCCTTGTGAGCACGTGGGGTGTCTCAGTTGGTGAGCACTGGCCTTGTGAGCACGTGGGGTGTCTCAGTTGGTGAGCACTGGCCTTGAGACCCTGGGGATCTTACTTCAGATCCCTGGAACCCATGTAAAAAGCCAGGGCCCAGTGGTGCCTGTGACTCAGCAGACGGAAGGTGGAGACAGGCAGGTAGGTCCCTGGCCAGGGTAGTTTCATCAGCCTGAGCATCAGCTTGGGACTCTTGTCTCATAATATGAGATGACAAACACTCAAAGAGGACACTGGTCATTCACCTCTGTCCTCTGAGACACATTCATGTACACATATGCACAGACACACACACATGCCTGTTTACAAACTACATGCACGTTCAGAATGTTATACATTATCGTCGATAAGTTAGTATACCTTTCTACTGAAATATTTTCCAGTTCTTAAATCCGTTGGCTTTTCTCTTTGCTGCTGTCTATCATTCCATCCTTCCTACTTTTACATTTCCTGTCCTTTGTTTATTTCTACTAAAGTTTTAAGTGATCTGCAAAATAAGCAGCTTCATTATGGAATTGTCATACATATATGTCATTGTATTCTTTCTTCTAATTGCTTTCCCTCCCCAAGCACCCCTTATCCTCTTCTGGTTAGTTCCCTCCTTCCTCCAAGTAGTCCCCCCCCCTCTGTTTACTCTCTTCCCCTTTCCTTAGGACTGCTTTCTCCTCTCCACTCCCCGACCATGCTTCCCCCTTGTCCTCTCCAGCATCCCTGACCCATGGCACAGATGAGTTTTGTGTTTTGTTTGTTTTTCCGTTCCTACCTTCCCAGATGCTTGCTTTTTTTTTTTCCTGACACTTCCTGTTTTGGAAATTGCATCGCTTCTCTTCCATCCTTTTATAATACTGAATTTTCTCTGGATTTCTAACGTGTGTGTGATGAGGCTAAGTGCCCACGAGACAAGTTTACTCACCCATGGAGCTGGAGTTGCAGACCACGTGAGCAGTCTGACTTGGGGCTGGGAGTCAAATTCTGGCCTTGTGCAAGAGCAGGACAAGAGTCTAACCAGGGAGGCGGCTCTGCCGTAGTTATTTTAACACTGTCGTGAAGTGTGTGTCGTGAAGGCTTGAAAAGCCTTAGCTTGCATTTGGAAACTGCTCGAGTCGTTGGCCGGTATGGGCTGTGGTAAAGCACGTGTTTTACCATGCTCTCTGTCTTAGTAGGTTGAGGTCATCGTAGAATGTGATATTTCTAGAGCATTCTCTCCGAAATTACCATGTATAAATCAAACATAAGATTGTTTTCAAGATTTTAATGTTAATATTACATAATCGCTCAATCTTATAATTTAATTTTTCTGTTTTAACAGGTGCAAGTAACCTATTTTTCTTTTTAAACAGGTTGATTCAAGGGATTCTTTGAATAGCATAGCCCTGAAATTTGATACCACACCCAATGAACTTGTTCAGTTAAATAAGTTATTCTCCCGAGCAGTCGTGACTGGGCAGGTATTGTTATTATTTAAAATGTATTGATATTTAAAATTTTTAGGTAAAAGTATTCTTTTTAATGTAATTAACATTGTAGAAAATATGAGAATAATTTTTTTGTGTTTCTGGAACAAATCCTATTGGCCAGATAGAAGTATAAGTTCTATCTATTAATCCATCTTAAAAAAAACCCTGAAAATAATTGTAAGTTGTGTTTCAAATATACTCGTAAGGAACTTTTAAAAACACTTAAAACAGTTCACATAAATTGACAGAATTCCAATATTTTTAAAGGTAAGCTATCCTTCAATCTCTAACTTGCTTCCTGGAAGCAAGGAACAAGTCGAATCTTTAAGAAACAGCTCAGCCTCTGTCAGGGGATTTTGTTTCTGTTTTGAAGCTTGTGTCTGTGACCCTTAGAACATGTTCTGTGTGCGTACAGCATTCCGACAGCTTTACTTGTCTGCGGTGAGGACCGTGTTGACACAGTTGTGTAACCAGTCACACAGTCAGGCTCAGTGTATTGCTGCTCCCTTGCTAATGTTGACACTGATGCAGTGAACACTTGTGTGTGTCTATCTTATATATACTCCACAACGTATAAAGTTGTTGGGGGAAGGAAATCTGTAGCTAATTTCTGTAGTTGCCAAGTCGCCTTTAAAAAGAACACATACAGTAGTAGAGTGTTTGTTCCTGTGCTATTGCATCTTGTTTTAATAAGCATTTCTAAATTATTTGTTAAATTAGTTTTAAAGTGTTTGTTTTGTTTTTTCATACTTATTGATATGATACACTGTTCTCTTACAATCTGAATTTTTTATTGCTGAAGGTCACTATCAAATTATGCTTGTTGATGGAACATTATTTGGCCACTCGTACTTGTTTTCCTGAATCTGTGTGTGAACATCTTACAGGTTTTATACGTCCCTGACCCTGAGTATATCTCCAGCGTTGAAAGCTCACCATCTCTGAGCCCCGTCAGTCCTCTGTCGCCGACATCATCTGAGACTGAGTTTGATAAAGCCACCGTGAGTATGCTGCTTTCAACCTTCGCTGGTTAGACATACGCAGTGTACACGTTACTCCCCCTGGGTGTTTCAGATCCTTTTATTTTGTTAATGTGCTTAGCTTGGATTGATAGTCCTTTGGCAGTAATGGTCCAAGGCAGTCATCATTTCTGTCTTATAAATATCATAGATTTAATTTCTCAGAGAATTATACCTAGCAAGCATGGGATACGATCATGTCCGATTTGAATATTTATTTTCTGGAATCTGTATTTGTGTGTGTGTGTGTGTGTGTGTGTACGTGTATGTACATGCGTGCACAGGCACATGACACATGCACACTAGTACTTGGAGTTCATTTTCAATGCACTGTCTCTAAAGAATAAGAATTTGTCATCCTAACTAATCCTTTCAGGGTGAATATAGTTAGTTAGTTTATTCAGCATTTGTAAGGAGAAAATGTTCTAGGTAAGCTAGTTTACAAGTTTTAAGAAATCAAATTGCATTTAAAAATCAAAGTCTCTCCAAGAGGGATTTTTCCTGTATTAACTAATACTGATCATAATTTTCCATCTTACAATACTTATTGGTTATTATTAATGGAAGAATTTTAGCTTCAGTGTTTTTAAGTATAAATCTGAGTCTCAAAATTATATGTACTTTATGTTAAATCTAATCCAATTATCATAAGATTATCCTAATAATCCTATTTACTTTCTCTTTAACATGTTTTAGGATTTTATCTGCATGTGTGTGTGTGTACCGTGTATATCCCTGTGCCTGCAGAGAGTAGGAGAGGGCATTAGATCCCCTGGAGCTAGAGTTCCAGATGGTTGTAAACATCAGTATGGGCTCCTCTGCAGTGTGTCTGCCTGCTCAGCCGTTTCTCCCTCCCCTAGGATACGTTCTAAGAGATGATGGAACCTTGGTCTTAAATTCTCTGAATAAAATCTGCTGGTTGATATATGATGAAATAGAACTCTACAGTTAGGATTTTGTATTTAGATTTTAAGAAACCCATTCTTTATAGAAGAAATTTTCACATTTGTAAAACCACACAAATAGATAAATTACTCAAGCAACAGTTTTCTTCTGCAATTTGGATGGGAGCCTCTCTCTGTAACTACCATGTAAAATGTGAGGTCTCATCCCTAGACAAGGAACTCCAGGAGACTAAGGAATGCTGAGAATGGGAGACTTGGTCTTCCTCAGGAAGAACATATGGATTGATTGTCTAATACCAAAGGGACAGCCCTGAAAACATACATGCAAGTAACATGTAGACTGAGAAGTTTGTTGTTATGTTTTTAGGAATATATATGTGTACACATATATGTAAGTATATGTAACAACAGTTTAAAAGAGGCCATGACTTTGAAAGAGAAAGGGAGGGTAGGAGGGTATGGAGAGAGGAATGGGAAAGTGATGTAATTATAATCCCAAAAATTTATTAAAAAATACCATTTCTCTTTTAAATTGTGATAAAAAGCCCAGTCAGATCTAAAGCCAACACTAATCCCTTACCATTATATTGTATTTTTTCTTCACCTAAAAAAATTGAATTTTGTTTTGAATTTTCATATTCTATTGTGCATCTTGCTTTTAAGTTTTCTCAACTTTTTGATAAAGAAGTAGAATAAAAGTAAACTAATCATGAGTAAATATAACTTACAGAAAGTGGTAAATGATTTTATTGACGATTTTAAATTTCATATAGCATGTGTATATTGGGTGAATTAATACGGTATTGTTTATTTCTGTATCTGTGTGGCTTTTCTTTCTGTGTTTTGCCTACATGTTACTAGAGAACATGTCTGTAAGTTTTCACCTCATAAGAGCACAGACACAGAACAGTCTAGGAAAAAGGAAGCAGAGAGGTCGTTTACTGCAAGCCTTTGACTTTTCACAGGTGAAAGTTTGGGCAATACTGATGCTTGCTAGATAGCTAGATTTCTACTCAAGGACCTTTCCGTCCCTTGTAGCTAAAACAAAATTACAGAGAAATATCAGCAAGCCCTCTAATGAGCTGCAAAACCATTGAATCAAAAGCCAGACTCCTTTAAAAGAAGCTCTCCATCGAGATGATGCTATTTTGAATACTGCACACTTATGTAAGCTGTGTTGAGATCGCATCACAGTCCTCTGAACAACTGGGGCTCCTTTAGAAAGGAAAGTGTCTCTCTTGTGCTCCGCTGAGCGCTCACCGAGCAAACTCCTGCATTCTTTTTAACAGGGTTACAATTGGAAGATTGGGATTGCTGTAGATAGCAGTTGACTTGTAGAATTTGAGGCCGAGGGAACGTCAGATCGTGTTGCTCACCGAGGTATATCTTCATTCAAGGAGAGCGTTTGACAATATGCTCTGTGTATATTTTTTCTCTGAATAACATGATTTCACAGTAGACAGTGGTAGCCATAGGAAATCCACGTAACTTGGGGGTAATTGACCGGCTACAAACAGAATGTGTTCGTAGCTCTTTGTCTATTTGTTCCTCCTGATGATCTTTGATCATCTGGTTTTGGGGAGTGAAGCATTCTTTCCGTCACCCGGTGGACGATTTGAAGGGACAGTGCATTATTGTGATTGTAGTCACTAGTTCCTGTGAATATTGACAACCTGGATTGACATTTCAGTTTCATCTTATTGTTTGGCCAAACATATGTTTAAAACTAAACCTTATGTGTAAACTAAAAAGTTAAATGGAGGTATTCATATATCACATATAGACAGGGATTTCATGAACAGCCATTGAAGTTATTAATATCACTTACTTAGAGATAGTAACTGTACTGACTGTATTTGCATGCGACACAGAACTTTTAGATAACATGGTAAGTACCAAAGACAATGGTATGTGTATAAAGCATGAAGATATGGAAAGGTCGAGGATATTTCATTAATTGATAAATTGAACATGCCATATAACCGTTACGATCTATTTCTTTTATGTGGTGACCTTGTGAGTAGCATTTAAAATGTCTTTGAACTTGGGTAAGCATTTTAAGTAAGTATAACATTTTTAAAAAGTAAAGCATGTACAGCAAACTGTAAAGTAATACAGGACATACTTTTAACTTTGTCCCTAGTCACGTAGGTATTTTCCTAACACCTTAGAGCTGAAATCAGCCATTAGCCAGTGGTTGTAGTCAACATAGCTGTTAGGCTCAGAGCTACCTGTTATTATGTAATGCGTTTATGGAAAAGTATACTTACCACTCCATTTCCCGTTTGTTTGAAATATTGTTACACTTGTGTTTAGTGTAATAGTTTTTCTCCATTAAATTCTGTATTTTAGCCATGCAGAGACATCCTGAGAAGAGCCGCATGAATTGTGTTGCAAGAATGTCTCGTAGTCAGATTGAGCTGTGTCTGGTGTGCGTTAGATGGGCCCAGGTGGACTTTGGTTTTGAAGTTTACAGTGTGCTTCTGGAGTGGGGGTATGGCTCAGTGGCTCAAGCGTAAGGACCAGAGTTCACATCCCCAGAGCCTCCTCAGACGCTAATTGGTCATGGCAGCCTACCTGTAATTCCCACCCCGGAAGGCACACATGGAGGCGGGGAAGACCAGACGCATGGGTAAACTCTGGTTGGATGGAGGCCACCACCCTCGGTGGATACAGTGGGAAAGCAATGGAGATTGGCACACTGCTGACCATCAGCCTCAGGGCTGCGCATGTACAAGTAACACATGCGCACACATGTGTGCCCGTGTACCTGCAGACTTGCGTGCACACAGCCATTTACACGGTTGAAAACACTCTCCTGATGAGTTTATCTTCTTGCCCGCTGTATCACAGATACCACTCATGGCCAGCTCCCCCTTTCTCTGTGCTCTGGCTTCTCTCGGAACCCGTGCTGGTGTTGTCAACACCAGTGGTTAAATTCACAAGCAGCTCTGCGTGTGTGTTGGGGTTGTGAGGGTTACACGTTACTTAGATTTTAATGCTTGTCACATTGTTGTATATACACATGTGTAGGTACATATAATTCCTATGCATCCTTGTGCTGTAGGCATTCAAAGTGCAAGTTTATGATGTATTTAAAAATCTTCATTAAAATGGAAATATCCTTATTGTTATAATTTGTGAGAATTTGGGGGCTTTAAGATTGTGGTGAGAAGAAGAGAGAGCAGTATTTACTGAGGAGATTATTTCCATTAACTCTGTACTTACCTAGTTTTCTTTTATTTAGTGATTTATTTTCATGTGCATTGGTGTTTTGCATACATGCATGTCTGTGGGAGGGTGTTGGGTCCCCTGGAGGTAGAGTTATAGATGGTTGTGAGCTGCCGTGTGGTTGCTGGGAATTGAAACCGGGTCCTCTGGAAGAACTCTTAACCGCTGAACCATCTCTCCAGCCCCCTTATTTAGCTTTCTAAGGCATTCTCTTTGTGTTTTGTTTTGCTTTGTTCAAGACTCCCGATGTTGTCCATCCAAAAGAAGTGTTTCCCTCCTCTGCTGTCAGCAGTATTCGGCCTGCGAGAGTTGTGTCTTCAACCTCTGAGGAAGAAGAAGCATTCACTGAGAAGTTTCTCAAAATTAATTGCAAATACATCACCAATGGCAAGGTAGTGAACAACATCTTGGCTGTTCCTAAACTGTGAAAGCTTGACATGGGCAGTTTAAGTCAAAAACGTCAGCCATCCATGAGATCTTTCTGTACAAGGTGACTGTGTGTTTGAGTTAGCATGGACCGTGCCCCTGACTCAGCATCTGGTCATCTGTGGCAGTTCCTAAAGGTCATGATGTGTAAATGAATTCACTACACTAAGCATCTTTAAAACAGCAGCGTTGACTATGCAGGAGTACTAGCTTTGAGCAACTTAGTGTGACACAGAAATTGAAAGATAACTCGTCCTTATTGGATATGTACTATCTGGTAGAATGTATTTAGGTGTGTTCATTTAATCTATTAAAATAGGAATAAACATTCCTACTTTGGGGCAAGTAAATTGCCTTTTGAAGTGCTTTGTTTGGTTCGCTTCTAAATACTTGGCGATATGCAGGTACTCTTCGTTAACTAATGTCTGATTTGACTCCATGTCAAATGTCAGATACCCTCCTTACTCCTTTGTGAAGGCTTGATATAGGTGACTTATTTCCTCACCCAGAGTCTGTGGTAAGTATGTGTGTATGCTTGAAAAACACGCACATTTTGCTTCTACTGAGTGGAACATTTTGCAGTACCCGTGATACCAAGTCGGGCAATGCTAGCATTCTTCTGTGTCTTTACTGAGTTCTTGTTTTTCTGTGAATTCCTGGCAAGGACGTGGCCCTGGCTCCATTGCAAACGTTAGTTTTCTGCTTTTGGTTCCAGTGTGCTGTTAGAAATGTGGAAATGCCTAGTGTTCTCGTGTTGTTCTGATGAACCGAGTCAGCCTGAAAAGCCCACTCGGGCCCCAGGCATCTGCCCTGCCTGGAGTCTGCTGGGGGGCACACTGCTCCAGGAAGTGTTCGCATGGTTCACTCGGGCCTGCTCTCTCAGGCAGTCTTTGTAAGGTGTGTGTCTTGTGGGCGTCCCACTTTAGGTGCGTTTGAGATGGTCAGTTCTTGAGGTTTTCGTGAATTTGACTTGGAGGAAAGACACTTGAAGGAGTCGCCTGTGCATCCCTCTAGCCCTGAGGGTGGATTCCTAAGCTAAAGCAGATCGATGAACCCAGTGGGTCAGGTGTGGCCTAGGTTCAGAGAGGCTGTAGAAGGAGCTCCAGAGGCCGTTGGGTAGCGTCGATGCGTCTGGAGAAATGGAGGCGTTCGTTACACTGGACCCTTTGTTCCCTTGTAGCTAGTTAGCATTATCTCCTCGGGAGAGTCCTCTAAAATGTAGCAGAGCATGCGTTGATGTTATGAGCCAAATCTGCTGTGGGCTGGGTTGCCCTCAGCGGTAGAATACTTGCCTTGAGTGCCTGGTGCTCTGGGTTTGATCATCAGTATTGCCAAAGCAAACACAGAAGCCAGGATACGGGATTGTCAGTTAAAATTCCTATAAAAGTAAAACTCCCAAAATCTCCTTCAGAGAACCTCGAATGCGCTTGCTAAGTTGTAGCCAGTTGCTTGGCTTCCTTTCTCAAAATCTGTAGTTTGCAGAAATTGAAGCAGTAAAGGGGACAGAAGTTTAGAGACCTTGCAAGGTTCTGCTCCAGGGCGTGTACTCTGGCCTTGTTTCCGTGCTGTGGGACCGTCCCCAGCAGTGTCGCTGTCCTCGGTGGCACTTTCCTGGCTCTCACTGGCGTGTGCTCCTCTGTGCTTCAGCAATATACACCGCTGTAGATGGGTCCATGAAAACCCTGCTCCAGGCTGGGTAGGCTGACGTTCTCCTGTCGAAGATTCATTGTCTGAGCTAAAAGTGTCGGAGAGGGGCTTCGAGATGGCCCGTGGTTACGTAAAGGCCCTTGGAAGCAAAGAACTAGCTTCTGCACATTGTCCTCTGACCTCCTTACGCGTGTTCTGGCACACAGGCCACACGCATGCGCACACGCCCACTCACCTTCACACTATGAGTAGAGAGATGTTCCTTCAACTGTTTAGATCGTTTGCCCCAACACCGCGTGTCCACTCGCACTTCCTGTTTTAATATTGCATAGGGTTACTGTGAGTCTTTCATACCTGTAACGCCTGCTGCTGCCGCCCCTCCTCACTTTTCTTGGGTAGCTGCAGTCATCAGGAGATCTTCCAAACATCACTAAGTGACGGTCACTTCGTCCTGTAAAAGGCACTGTCTGCGTGACTGCTGAGTTTGGACTGTGACACCGAATCAGGCAGGATGCCCGGGTTTCCCTTCCCCTGGCATTTCAGGAGAAGGCGACACGACTTTGAATAGCCGTTTGACTTTCAGAAGTTTGTCACGCTTCCTCTGTGCTTGTGAAATGCTGGAACAGGAGTTTGAACCTGAGAGTCAGGCGGTTCACACATGGGTATGCGCATGCATCTTGTGACGCGGGAAAGAACTCGGTACCCGCACTCTGCATCCTGCTCGCTCGTTTGTTGTGTTCTGTGGACAGATGCCCGCTCGCCTCACCTTCGTTTTCACGGCTGTGGTTCTCAGCTAGGATCGTGAGCATCAGTCGGCTGCGTATGGACAGAGTATGCCCTCCAGGAAGCAGCAAACACTAACCCATGCTAATGCTGCCAACTGTCTGCAAACCTCAGTTGACAAAAGTAGACTCCTAGAGATTTGTATCTCTGTTTATATAAACTCATTTAAAATTCATAGTCTCTAATTGTGAATTAAAAGTTACACTTTAATATGAATTTTGTCTAGGGTTGGAGAGATGGCTCAGAGGTTAAGAGCACTGACTGCTCTTCCAGAGGTCCTGAGTTCAATTCCCAGCAACCACATGGTGGTTCACAACCATCTGTAATGAGACCTGGTGCCCTCTTCGGGCCTGCAGACATACATGCAGGCAGAATACTATATGTTAAATAAATAAATAAATAAATAAATATGAATTTTGTCTAAGCAACCCTGTAGATGAAGAAATGGGCCCTAAAACTTTGCATATGGAAGATCTCAGCTAATGAATAGCAAATTTAAGCTATTTCTCAAACATTATTGCTATGAAACTACTCCTTTACCACTGGTAATGAGTTATTAATACACAATATAAAATGTACACGCTGATCTCATGTAGCCCTGTTGGAACTTGTATTGGGAGAAGAACACAGGAGGTGGTGTGCATGGTCCTGCACAGCTTGGCTTTCTGAAGCACACATCTGACAGTCCCTTCTTAGCTTTACAATCAAGCCATTGTCTCCCTCTGCAAATCTCAGTTTCACGTGTTTTAGGTAGACTATGATATTCTTTGCATCCTGACTCTGCTGAGGAAAAGCATAGTTTCCTGGAAAGCACGCTTCAGGAGGGAGCCTTAGTGCCTGGCTGCTCTGGGTATAAGGCAGATAGATGGCCAGAGGTCAGGGAATGCATAGCAGAGGCATCTGGACTCTGAACTGAACTTGTGAGCTTTGAAGATTGAATGGTTCTTTCTTTTTCCGTCTTAGGGCACTGTCAGTGGCGTGCTGCTAGTCACACCCAATAATATAATGTTCGATCCACATAAAACAGACCCCCTGGTTCAAGAGAATGGCTGTGAGGAGTATGGCATCATGTGCCCAATGGAAGAGGTGATGTCAGCTGCCATGTACAGAGACATTTTGGATAGCAAAATAAAGGAGTCCTTACCCGTGTGAGTGTTTATGTGCTGCTCGCCGCAGCGTCCCTCCCTCCCCTCCCCTCCCTCTCCTCCCTTACCTCTTCTCTCTTCCCCTCCCTCCCCTCCCCTCCCTCCCTTTCCCTTCCTTCCCTTCCCTCCCCTCCCTTTCCCTCCCCTTCCCTTTCTCTCCCTCCCTCTTCCTCCCCTTCCCTTTCTCTCCCTCCCTCTCCCTCCCCTTCCCTTTCTCTCCCCTCCCCTCCCTTTCTCTCCCCTCTCTTTCCCTCCCCTTCCTTTCTATCCCCTCCCTTTCCCTTCCCTCCCCTCCCCTCCCCTCCCCTTCCCTCCCTTCCCTCCCTTCCCCTCCTTTTCTCTCCCCTCCCTTTCTCTCCCCTTCCCTCCCCTCCCCTCCTTTTCCCTCTCCTTCCCTCCCCTCCGTTTCCCTCTCCTTCCCTCCCTTTCCCTCTCCTCCCTTTCCTTCCCCTCCCCTTCCCTCCCCTCCTTTTCCCTTTCCTCTCCTTTTTTCTTCCCTTCTGTCGTCTTTCTTTTTAGCCTCTAGATGGTTGACCCTTCTCTAATATTCTTATTTTATTGGTTTTATCATAACTGTTTTTCATTTTGTCAGTAAGACAGGAAAAATGTAAGCAGTATTGAATAGGCAATTCATAGCGTGTCTGGTATATAGAGAATAATTGTGTTCAATTTTATATTTATTTAGTCAAAGAGCCGGATATTCGACAAGTAACCTCTAGTGTTCATGTGACTCAGTGCTTCTCAGCCTTTGTTATCTAGACAGACAATTAAAAATTTTAGCTTCCTCTGTATTACTAATTTTCCCTGAAGGTACCTAAAGAGTATACTGAGTGTGGGCTGTGGAGCGTTGCAGGGTAAAGACCTGGCGTTGGGATAGCCAGGATAGCTTTACATTTACACGCATAGTTGTGCTTCTGGAAACAGAGAGCACGAGACACGTAAGACAAGACCTGCAGTTGTTCTCATGAAGGGGGGCCTGGGATGTACAGCCAAGTAGCCAGCAGAAATAAAAGACTGAGAAAGAAAAGGAGACGCAACATCCAAGGAAAAGTAGGAGGAACTAACTGATGTGGGATAGCTCTGCCCCCCCATGCCAGTTTAAAGATTAGACCTCAGGTGAGAAAAGTTCCAGAGGGAAAAGGAGCTCCGTTTCAGGATCCTTTCCACGTGGGCTGTGGCTTTATCATTCAACATATTACCTGGGAAGACAGGGACTGGGTCCCCGCATTTAAAATATCACCAGAAGGAAATACCCTTAAGTCTTGGTCTATATGCTAATTGGAATCAGGATTTGGCTTCAAAGAAGATAAATGCAGCAAATGGTTTTGCAGAGCAATGCTTTGCAGAAATAAAGTAGATGTAATGGGTTTCACCTCTTTAATGTCTGGGTAATTGATTTTTAAAGTGCTGTTCTGAACTGTGTTAAGTGCCATAAGTAGTAATGGTTAGCCATTGAGAATATTAATCTCAGGCTAGAAAACTCACGTAAATAAATATACTTAAAAAAATCCATTAACAGCTAGTCTCTTGATTCTGGGAAGTGTATAAGGAAAATCTCCCAAGGCTTGGGTCCAGTTCCTTGACCCTGTGGGTGCAGTTTAAGCAAATCACCAGTAGGTGGCACCATTTCACATTCAGTATTGCCAGTTAGATGCCTGGGTTTCTTAAAAAATGACTACAGTAGAGAGACAGAAGACACTTGAACTAATTGTTTAAAGTAACTACACTTCACACATCTCACTTAGAAAAACTGTGTGTCTTGTTACAAAGACTTGAAAAGCACGAGAAAGTTGATCAGGAGACTTGATCAGCTTCAGTATCTGCAGGAGGCCTCTTATTTGGAGGTGACTTGTTCTCTAGCCGTATTTGCCCAAAGCCTTTAATGATGCTTGTCTCCAGAACCGACCACTTGCAAGCATTGGTATTCACCTAAACCAGTGCTAACGAGGGTGGAAATGAGCCCCGGCTGTAAAGCATTCACTATCTAGTTCTTTAACTGAACGAACTCTTAGGACTGTCCGACTCAACAGCTTAGGATTTCCTGCAAACGTTTGTCCTCGGCTGCTCTTGACATTCCGTTATAGCTTGTAGTGTAGTCTCACCTCCCTCTGCGTGCACCTGAGGCCTGCCTGTGCGGTGATGCATTGAAATTCACCACTTTCTGTCTTCTACCAGCGAAAGTTTTGGTTCAGTACTAAAATCTCGTCAAGAATCTGTTATCAAACTTTGTTGTAGATCACGTACAAAGACATCTTCCATTTGTGTTTCCCAAGTAGTAAACAGCTAATGAAAAATCTTGATATATATGAAAAATACAGCTATTTCTATTTTCTGTTGAGAGCTAGTCCTTACCTTTTTTGAAAAGCCTCTTCTGTGATATTTTATTAGCTGTTTGGGGAATGTAAAATGTTACAGATTTTTAGTGTCTAATAGTTTTTAATTTTATTGAACGACAGAGAAATGGATCAGTTGTCAGGAAGGGACGTCTGCCATTCCAAGAAGATGACAGGAACCGGTGCTGAGGACGCCGACTCGAGAACCCGCGACCCAGGTAACGACAGTGCCAGCACGGCTCCCCGGAGCACGGAGGAGTCCCTGTCGGAGGATGTCTTCACCGAGTCAGAACTCTCTCCTGTCCGGGAGGAGCTCCTCTCCTCAGAGCTGCAGCGGCAAGAGAAGTCCTCCGACGCCTCGTCGGAGTCTGTGCAGACTGTCAGTCAGATGGAAGTGGAACCGTTGGCCGCCAAGTCAGGGTCTGCCAGCATCCCTGACCACGCTCACCCCGGCGCCGGACCTTCTGCGGACCGGAGGCCTGTGTCCCGGGAGACTGATTTAAGGAGTCTCGAACCAGCCGCCGAAGAAGGAGCCAAGGCCACGGAGGGACGCGAAGAAGTCTCGGGCCCTGAAGAACAGAGCGCAGATGGGAAAGCTCACCATGACCGGGAGTCTTCACGTCTCGAACAGTCGCTGCAGCAAGAGGGAGGAGAAGGGAGCGCGGCCCCCGGGGAAACGGTGCCGCCGGAGGAGACGCAGACCGTGACCGGGGGGCAGGACAGGCCCGGGGGAGAGCCGCAGCGGGACTCGGAGACCGAAGTCGAGGAGCTGCGCAAGCTCTGGAAAAGCCACTCCATGCAGCAAGCTAAGCAGCAGAGAGACACCATGCAGCAGGAAAGCAAGCAGAAAAGCGCCGCTGCCGATGGGCACGTGGACGGTGAGTGTCCCATAGGGGGTGAGTGTCCCGCGGAAGGTGAGTGTCCCGCGGACGGTGAGTGTCCCGTGGACGGTGAGTGTCCCATAGGGGGTGGGTGTCCCGCGGAAGGTGAGTGTCCCGCGGAAGGTGAGTGTCCCGCGGACGGTGAGTGTCCCCCGGACGGTGAGTGTCCCGCGGACGGTGAGTGTCCCGCGGACGGTGAGTGTCCCGTGGACAGTGAGTGTCCCGCGGACGGTGAGTGTCCCGTGGACGGTGAGTGTCCCGCGGACGGTGAGTGTCCCGCGGAAGGTGAGTGTCCCGTGGACGGTGAGTGTCCCGTGGCACAGCCTGCCTGCCTCAGTGCGCGTTGCTTGCTTCTTTCCCCTCTGACCAACACTGCTGGGTGACAGTCACCTGCTTCTCGAGTGGGGCGGCACTGGGGACACGTCTGTGCGGTAGTGCCTAGTCTTATAGCTCTTTTGGCCATGTTCAAGCACTCCTGACTCAGTACGTGTTCTATAGAGTGTACTGCCTCGGCTGCTCCATTTCCTTTTTAAGGCCTCGGTATGAGTGTATCGTTGCATATATAATATTTGAGTTGCAACTTACAATGGCCAAAGTTTCAATCCCTTAATTTTTTTAGAAAGTGTAGTTGCACATGAAAATCTCCTTCTAGAATTCTTTTGCATACCCCAAAATCCCATCCTTATCCAAGTAGATGGCAGAAGTTTCCGCTTCCTTTCTTAGCTGGCTTTGGTAATGTGAGAATTACCGAATAGTTTCTGTTGCTAACACACTGTGCTTTTGCTTACTGCATTGTGAGTTGAGTAGCTATGGCTTACATGACTTAGTAACATTCTCTCAATTCTACTGAAGAGTTGCTTCTGTTGATTCAATTTGTATGTGAGCTCTTTTACGATTATACTCAAATTTACCATTTTGGCTTTCTTGTTATAAAATGGACATGTACAATTTGCCCTTCTCACCATTTTGAAATCTACAATTCATTGGCATCAGCATATTCCTCTTGCCGGATACCCATCACTGACATCCGTCTTGACAACTGTGAACATCTTCTCAAGTCAGCACGGTGCTTAACTGAGCAAAAAGCTGTCACACTCCTCCCTTCCCGGTTGTCACCAGGGTCCGTTCTGTGTCTGCCTTCCTGGAGGCCCAGTGTGTACGTGGAGCACGCACAGTTTCTGAGTCACATCCGTCACTTGGCACCGTGCCTTCACCATTCATCTGTGTCACGGAACGCGTTAGAACTTCCTCTCTTTAAAATCGCATTGGTTTTTGAGATTGATACGGTTACATCATTTCCCCCGTTGCTTTTGCCCCCCCCCAGCCTTCCTTTATACGCCTTGTTCTCTTCAATATCATAGCCACTCTTTCCATTAAATGTGGCTATATACAGACTGGACAGGTTATACCTATGTGCTTAGCAGTGTGTGTGTGTGTGTGTGTGTGTGTAACAAAAAAAAGTCCTTTTTTCTTTAAGGCGGAAGAGTTAACATTTCTGCATATGTGTGTGTCATGTGTTATTTGAGAGCAGTGTCAGGGTATCCCTGGTTGACGCAGAGAAAATTCAGGCATATGTATAGTGTTTTAAATCTTGCCGCAGTGAACAAATGCTGTACAAAAGGAGTCCCTCCCTGCTCAGTTTTTTTTGTGGTGGGTGGGGGGAATCCCATACACCGAAAGAGGGATTGCCACGTCACGTCATAGCTGCTTCCTGCTCTGAGAATCCATCCATTCCCATCCGCAGTTGCTGTGCATTGTTTTCGTCTCTTCAGCAGTTCATAAAGGCTGGCTCTGTGTGACAGGCTGCACACACTGGTAACCTGTACTTCCAGCACCTCTAGGCAGAGGCAAGAAGACCGCCTCAGTGTTGAGACCAACCTTGTCCACACAGCAGGAGTCTGCTTCAAAAAGCCTAAGAACTATTAATGCTGTTTTGAGACAAGACAGGGTCTCGCAGTCCCAGGCGGACAGGCCTTGGTCCTCCTGCCTTCCAAACACGTGTGCCGCAAACACTCAGCGTTCAGTTTTTAAAACTTTGAGTCATGGAGCTTCAGAAACCTAAGATTATACTCATTAGTCGCTAAAGATTGCCTTACTCAAAGCCATCTCTGTAAAGGGTGAACTGTTTTCTTCTATAACATTTTCTCTTTAGTCAGAGCACAGTGAACACTCGCTAGGAACATTGTCAAAGACAGGAAATTATAACACAATTTATAAAATTATCTAGGATTTACTTCCAAGGATGTTCAACTAGTGTTAACATTCTTGCAGCTCTTTGGAAGGCGTTTTTGTTTTGAGAGAGGATTGCATCTGTCTGTACATCTGTCTGTACATCCGGATTCTAATGGAAACTCAGGACTGAACAATATGGAGTGCTGTTTCCTTCTTCACACCTAACCTGTGTGGTGTACACTGTAGTGTGTTCATTATGGTTTTCTCAGATGTGCTTGTATTGGTCTTATAATTTGTCCAACCACTTCCCTGTTGTTTTTCTCAATTTATGTTGTTAAGACAATTACCTTTGATGTAAGTAACATCTGTATGAAGATCTTATAATGGTATTTGGCTTATATATTTTTTGAAATCTTTGAAAATGGTTAAAAAGGAATTTCTCTTCAATTAAATAGTGTGGTAGACTATAGGCTATGAGAGTTAATATATAATAGATTATTATAGCCAGATACCAAAAGGAGAAGATTAGTAGGTATTTTTAGATAGCTTTCTCTGGGTTGTACTATTGGATTCTTCTTTCTAATGAAATATTAGTTTTAAATGACCAGGTTTTAGTAACGATAGTGTGTAATGTGGATATAGTAAGGCTTTTTGAAATGTATTGCTCCATGAGATGAAGCATTGTAGTAAATATTAAACTGTAGGATACAATAATGGAAAGAACAAGGAGGATGAACACTTCTCCTTTCAACCAGTGGCTGACGCTGGGGCACATAGGCCGTGCCCTTCATACAGTGCTGCGTGGGGTGGGGTGGGGGATGCTTCTGAAGGCACTTTCCTCCAAGAGCTGCTGCTGAAGCAAGCCGGTTAATGTCCATGTTCTTGGACTTAATCCTACTGTCAGACTCCAAATAATCTGTCTCTGATGGGAGGTAATTCAGACATAATTAACTGTTCTAACATAGCTTTGCAGCTAGTAGAATATTAATTTCTCACACCTTTGTATGTATGTAAAGGCTAGAGATTTCATTTGTTTTTTTGCATGATAGCCATATTAAAATATCCATTTATGAATTTTGTATACTTATTTAGATGTGATTTATAAAGATTAACAGAGAATCCGCAGAACATTTAATATATATATATATATACAGTTCAGCATAGCTGTTATTAACAAGTTATTGAAAAGTCTCTGAAATTTTTCATTTCCTTCTAATAGACTTTACTCTTTCATTTAATCTTGTAGTTTCAGTAACTGTATCTTCTGGGGGGCGGGTGTTGGGGATGGATGATGATACATTTTATAATTAGGAACTAGAATGTAAGATCACTTCATCTAAGGCACTTCAATACACTCTGTGACGGAATGAATCCTGTTTACATCTCCCTCCTAGGCTCTTCACTTTTAAGGGATAAGAGAAGGCATCGATTGCACAAATTCCTGTGTCTCCGCATTGGAAAACCAATGAGGAAAACATTTGTATCTCAAGCCAGCGCTACGATGCAGCAGTATGCACAGAGAGATAAGAAACATGAATACTGGTTTGCAGTGCCCCAAGAAAGGTAAAGCAACTGCTTTAAAACTTAGGCTTTCCTTGTAAGACTCGCTCATGGATCACACCAGAAGCAGAATACCTGAAAGCCTACGTCTCCAAATTCCTGATCCAAACTAGGCAGGCACAGTGGCATATACCTCTAATTTCAGCTCCAGGAAGGCTGAGACAGGAGTTATAGGTTCAGGGCCACCCTGTGCTATATAGCAAGACTAAAATAAGTAAGTCCGCAAGGCTAGTTTTAATCTTTTTAATCAGCTGCTGTCTGATACTTTTTAGTTTATGCCTTTAAATTTTAATATTTAGTTTATTGTAAAATATTGGAACACAAATAACATTTTAATAGTAAAGTAGGTATACCTTAGACTGTGAAGATTCATGAATATATTAACATAGCCATCTTGAAGGAAAATAATGATGTATAGTTCTTTATTTAGCTTTTTATCTTTAAATTTGTATTTTCTAGTACATTTGCTTCCAGAATCTTATGTCGTTTTTTTATCCTTAATATTTTTTGCAACAAATTGCATGTACTTACTCAATGTATTTCTCTGTATAAGCACAAAGTGTTTAGCTCACTAGGACTGTTGACAAGGTAGCAAAGGACTCTTCTGTGGTGGGACACTGACCACCCAGCATGCTTCAGTTTTAGGCATGCTAGCAGAAAACTAGGACACACCAGCACAGTGGTCCAGACAGCAGAGGAGCATTTCCAGTGAAAGGGTGGGATGCATTTTAGGATTGGCTTCCCTTTCCTGTCTTTAATTTTCCTTAGTTGATGAGCTTAGTCTCATCGAAAACTCCTTAAGTTCTGTGCTTTCCAGTGAATGAGAAGCAACTGGATATATAAAAAGACTTTTTAATGTAGAATTATTCCTAGTATCATCAGTAGCCTTGATCAGCCTGAGAGTGTTTATACTTTAAAAATGTCTTCCTACAAAACTGAATGTATAGCCGAGCCTTGGTGGTGCACACCTTTAGTTCCAGCACTCGGGAGACAGTGGCAGGCAGATCTCAGTGAGTTCAAGGCCAGCCTGGTCTACAGAGCGAGTTCCAGAACAGGCTCCACATCTACACAGAGAAACCCTGTCTCGAAAAAGAAAAAGAAAAATCCCTGAATGTGTTAGGATATTATCTTATTTTTTAATGGGGGAAAAAGCCCTTTAGTGGAAGCAGAAACGTTCTGGCCTTGCAGTCCGTACGGCTAGTCAAGTGACAGCAGGTGTCAGAGTAGCTCTCTTGGAACCCTGTGCAGTCTGCTTTGGCTGCCGTTACTTTCACGGATCTAATGATAAGCAGCTTCTTCCCGCTGCACCACCAGACACTGCAGACACCGTGTGTCTCTTCTCTAAGGTGGGGGTTTAGCAATTAAAATGGTTTGATTTGCGTTGTTCACTACTTGAAAGAAACAGATCCAATCGAATAGGCTAGTGATAGTAAAGTGATTATAATGAAAAATGTAGCTATTTACTTAAATTTAACATAAACATTTAGTTTTTCTTACTATTCTTGGTTATTAAATTTTAGATGGATTAGCATTTTGTTGCTAATGTTGTTCTTAGTTCCAAACCTAAGTGTTGCAACCTTAACTGGGAAAAGGCTCTCACCCCTCCTTAATGGAAGGAACTCATGCTACTCCACCATCTTATTACCAGCTAGAAAATTCATCGCAAATAATAATTAAGATGTACCTTGGCTTTTGTCAATATTAATACTGCTGCAGTTTTGAACATTATCACAGAGAGAAAACTTAAGAGAGTTGTTGATAGTGGCCACCCTTTAATATGTCAGGTGTCACGTAGCTTTTATGTCAAGAGAAGGGCGTGCACTTCCTAGACCTGTTGCTATTGGCTGTTACATGTTTGCTGGGAGTGTTGTGATTCATTTATCCATGCTGACTAAAGCCAATAAGCACATAAGTGTTGACATTTAAACATGTTTATGGCATAGGGCAGTTGCCAATACAGTTTACTACAGTTAGAAAAATGTAAAATATTAGCTCATCAACCTCTTAAGCAAGAATTTCCTGTGTGTCGCTGCTTCAGCTCGAATGCTGCATCTTGATCTTTTCTCACTGGTGTCTGCAGGGGGGAAAGCTTACACTGCAGTGAGTATAGTGAAAAGCCTTCCAACAAAAGTCTCAGTGCAGCAGCTTTTACAGCTTGACAAATGAAAGCCTGATGTGCGGCCCTAATTTGTCTTAGTAGTAAACACCCAGAGTCAGATACCAGGGTAAAAGCTGAAGGACCAGAGAAGTATAAAGGACCAGCCTCAGTCATCACTTAGCTCTCCAACATCTCAGTCTGAAAAGGGCCAAGCTCCTGTCTAAGCCTGTCTCATCACTTCCTGTTTCCTGTTGGCCTGTATAGTCCTGTCGGCCTGTACAGTCCTCCAGACTCTATGGTTAACTAGTAGCTAGCTCTGCCCTCTGATCTTCGGGCAAACAAATCTTTATTTGTCAGAACACAAACAAAATGTCATAACCATAGCCAAACCAGCTTTTAAACACAGCGTCTCCCTGATAGTGGACTTTATTGTTTAATAAAATCTAGTGTATTTTGAATGTCTTCAACTTGTATCAAAACATTTGACAAATCCAGTTTTAACTGTAGCTGATAGCAGATGATACCAGAACTATGACTGACCGTTTGCTCTAACAGGACAGAGCACTTGTACGCCTTCTTCCTTCAGTGGAGTCCAGAGATCTATGCAGAAGACACTGGGGAATACTCCAGGGAGCCTGGCTTCATAGTAGTCAAAAAGATCGACGAGGCGGAAACAGGGGAAGATCCCGCTGGTGACGCCGCAGGCAGGGAATGGGAGGTAAGGCCCCCGAGACTTTGATCCTCCCCTGTGCTCCCTTTCCTCCCCGCGGGACTGTCTAACCTTAGGGGACCCCATAAACTGTAAGAATTCATCGCACAAAAGCGGTTTTGAAGGCCTGGTTCATAGTCCATGCACATGTGTATTTCTTGAATGAATCTGAGTAGTAACTTAATGCTCTTTGTCACTGCCTTTACTTTAGTGAAATACTGGATTATTAGCGATAAAGTACTTTTTAGTATATTTTGCATATTTAAAAGAAGATAACATGGCAAAGATGGAAATAATATTAACTGCTATTCTATTGTCTTAACAATTTCCGATTTGATTTATCTGTATTTTTTTCTACGTGAAAGAACACGCATTTACACATTTAAAAAAATTAACTGTCATCTCCAAGTTTCACACCTAATAATCATTGTCTTGGCCTGAGTTTGGTGATACTAATTTGAAGGCAGTGAGTTAGTGCTAATTTCATATTAAAAAGAGGTTTTATGTGCTCAAATTTAATGAGTTTGTAAATAATGTCCAAGTTAATTTGATAAGCTTTTAAAAAAACTCCCTGTAGCTAAAAAATAATTTAAGACTGTGTCATTTTATAGCCTTTATCTTGGGGGTATTGATAGGATAATACTGTTTTTATGTTTTGGAATTTTTATCTTATTAGAAAACAGAGCAGATGCTAAAATGTGTTAATACATTTTATTACCCATTTGGTTAAAGTTTGTGGTTATCTGTGTAGTATGAATTTACTGTACATGTACTTAGCATGTATAATGATTAAGGTATACATGGCTTGTCTTCTGTTTAAGCTGTGGTCCTAGTTTTTTGTCTAATATCATTGTGTGTTACATACAGCATCCATTTCTAGTATATCGTCAATATGATGAAGGGAAAGAAAAATAATATATTGTACTTTTATTTCAATATTTAAATTAAAAGTATTAGTCTTAATTCCAGCTTTGTCTATAATAGCTCCAAACTAGTAATGACCTGAGTTACTACCAGCAGAACAAATGGGTAAATTTGCAGATATTTATAAAATTTTATGTAAACACACCAATAAAAGCACACCTAACAATGTAAGCAACTACATGGATGACTCTGGTAGACGATGGCTGGAATAGAAGGGGAGAGCAGGAGTAGCTGAAGCCCGTAGGCTCTTAGCAAAGCGGCAGGAAGGGAATGGATGGTGAGGCTGGGCACAGGCTCACACTTAGTGTGGATGGGGTCACCTGGGCACTGCCTGTCCCTGCTGTGTCCCTAGATTTCCAAAGAAGTGCACAAGTTAAGGTAGCAGCAGTTGAAAGCAGCTTACACTAAGAGAAGATAAATTAGTGAAAGATGTTATGTAACTGATGAGGACTTAGCGGCAGCGAGGCAATGATGAAGTTTCTAAGTGGGGCAGTAAAATGGTGGACAGCAGTGCTTTCAATCAAGAATGAATTGAGAACTTTTCCCCAGTTTTGGTTGGATCATTAAGTCTGGAGATAGGAAACTACTGAGTCTCTGTTGCTTCCTCTTTTCATTGGATGCATGTGTGTGTGCATGGATGTGTATGGATGCTTGCGTTAGGTCGGACCATACTACGCGTACTAATGTGTGTGTGCAGAAGCCAGGGTTGACGGGAATCTTCCTGGTTGCTCCTCCGCTCCCTGCTTTAAGGCAGCCCAGAGTTCACACACAATGCTTGTCTCCACAGCTCGCTTGCTCTGGGGATCCCCATCACAATGGTTAAAGCTGGAATTATAGGCAGCTTGCACGGCCTCCTGGTCCCTGCATGGCTTCTGGGGCTCCAAGCTCCCAAATTTAGGTTTTTTTCCTTTGTTTTGTTTTGTTTTTTTTTCCCAGCTGACACTGTAACCTGTGACGTCTCGTGATCCCCACTGCTGGCTATTTTGACTTAAAGGAATGGCTTCAGTTTCTGGGGGAAACATGGAGGATTGCAATCTATAGGTTCAGATTTATCTATCTCCCAAAAGAAAACAAAATGTAGTAGGAAAAGTTCAGTTTGTAAACTTGCTGTACCTCCTGGAAACAGTGTTGCGTGGTCTAAGGCGGTAGCCTCCCCGTGTTTGTGGCTGCGGTGGTTTTGGGTTGGGGTCACGTGACTGAGGAGCGGGAAGGGCTTTAAGACTGAAGGTGCCGCTTCACCTGTCACCAGCCTTCCTTAGATTGCTTGGACAGCTTGTGTGCATGGTCACCCTTCCCAGCTGTAAACTTCCGGAAGTCTAGGCTAGGAAGGAAGTTTGCCGCCATCCTGTTTTCCCACTTGGAGTATTCCACTCGTCTTCTGTTGTAGCAGGAGAGACAGAAAGAGCAAGGCCTTCTCTCTCGGAACAGTTCTGTTGGGAAGGTCCTTGTCAGCGTTTGATCTGTTCCTTCTTCTGGGGACCATCAGTAACAGAAAGCCCAGCACTGGGTAGTTGACAGTGATGTGGGCAGCCTGGCATGTCTCTGTTTTAACCTTCTCCAGGAACAGAGCGATTGCCCTTAGCTCTGGTGCTAACCCTTCTAGATTGTTTGCAGACCCTGTGCTATCTCTGTCACTACTCTTAACATTTGCTAAACAACTCTAAGTCATGGCACCCAAAATTGCTAAGATGTGCAGTCTGAATTGGAAAGTTGTAAGACGTATTTAAAAGAGCTTCGTCTACAAACTACAGAGATTAAATGACAGTTTTATGAGTAAACAGATCAGACAGGAATTTCAGAATTTGAAGGAAGAGGACAGCAGGAAGAAAGCACAGTATTAGAGGTTTATGTGTGAGCTCCAGACCAGCTGGCCAGCAGAACCCCTCTCCCACAGAAAACAGGGAGAGTTTAGCCAGTGAGGTCCCCCAATGAGACATCAGGATAATTGCTGTACTCCGAAAAGGAACCAGGGGCGTGGCATCCATTGCGTTTACTGGCGTCAGAGGAACCTTGTAGGAGTGGTTTTCTCCTTCCACCATGTGGGTCCCAGGAGTCAGGTCATCGGCTGCAAGCACCTTTGCAGACTGTCCCACCTCCCGAACTGGAGTTGCGCTTTTGATCATTGTTAGAGGGAAAGGCCCTGACTCATTCTCTGCCCCGATCCTTGCCAAGCATTGGTGAATTGGTATTCCTTTCAGTGTTTAGTTTTTCAGAGCCTGGTTCTTTCCGAGTGTTGGATATTACTCAGGTTTCTCAGTCACTCAAAGATCAGCCATCCTTCTAAGTATAAAAGTAGTAACATGTTGCTTACTTATAGCATAAACCCCTGAAGGTTTACTCAAAACATTTTAGTGTATACCTTCTGCCTCAGTTTTTCAAGTTATCTGTGTGTTGATTTTGATTATAAATCCCAGTGTTCTCCAGTTGATTATATACGTGTAAATATTTAACCTGATGTTAGTTTTCTACACCATTAAGCTCAGGTATATCATTACTGGATTTTTTTCCCCCTGTTGCACGGACTCAGTTCTGTTTGCACAGCTGTCATTAAGTAGTTATCACTAGAGTCGTTCATTAGTTTTCCACAGAACACCAGTGCGATACTGCTACAGCTCCCAGGAAGCACCGTGCCGGAGGACTGCAGTTGGGTATTGAGTATGGTATCTGCTAAGCAGCTGGCCAGTAAATGATCTTACGTGCATTTTCCCAAGTACATCTCCTTATTGTCATTAAAGAACTATGTAGTTGCAGATTAAAATTAAGCCAGTACAAGCGAACATGTTTCCTAATCTCTTCTCGGCCTAGTCGCCAAAATGCACATTCAGCTGGAACTATCAAAACTAAGGAGAGGCTCTGTGCCTACCGTCAACCCAGGGGGCCCCGTTCTCAAGTCTGGCTTCTGAGTGGACAGCAACCAGAACCGGCTGTGCTACCCCTGTTGCCTTGGCTGTCTTGGGTCAGCACTGTTCACTGGGTAGCATCCGCCTTCATGCTGGAGAAAGGTAGCTAGGCAAGTTTTTAAAATGTTCCCTTGAACGTTTCAGTACTGCTGATGGCTTTGTCTTGAGGACTGGTGTTACGAGGAAGGAACGTGACCACAGTGTGTGTGTTACGTTTAAGGAATGTGGTTGAAAGTTATGGGGGAGGGGCATGGCTGGTCTGCAGGAAGGAAAAGATTACCTGCAAGGTAATCTGGGTTCTGTGGGTTCTGCCCAGTGTTGTAGGTAATGAAAAGGGATGTGTGTTTGAGGAGATGCCTTGGGTGTGAGACACAGTGAGTTAATAGTAGAGCAAGTCGGCCTGAAAATGGGAGACATATTTGGACATGGCCCTTACAGCAAAGATAAAACTGAACTCCAGGTAATTTTAGTTTCCATCTAAATTAAATGTAGTTCTAGTTCTTACTTGATCTTTTAAAAATAAGCTTCTGCCTGTATTCCACATACTACTAATTAGTGACGGATAATGTGTGTAGACACAGTGACATGTTAATTGCAGTCCCATGTGTGACTGGAGAAGAATTCTGGAAATGGTACACGGTACATGGTACACGGTGCTTGTAACCATGACACTTTTAATGTATCTGTCAGTGCCATGGAAATGTGTGTCTGTGTCTTTAAACTTCTGAGCCTTTTCTTTGCACATTTGGGTGCAGTGCAACCGAACTTAAGCATGGGAAACTCTCTCTTCCCTCCCCGGCGTTACAGTCTCCACTCAGGACCATCTGTGCCGTGGATGCTACTTAGTGATTAGCTCTCGGTCGTGTCAATCAAATCTTGGTTGCTAGCGAACTGTTCTGTGACTGTGGCAGGGCTCTGGGGCTGGGGATGTATATTTGACCGAGGAAGAATGCTTTTGAAAAACAGTGCTGCTGTGATTTGCTGAGGCTTCATGTGACCTGGGAAGGAGATGTCCCGTCTCTGGTATGGGAAAAAGGGGAGAAGACATCAACCAGTTAATCATAAGTACACTCTGGTAAATCTTGATCAATTATTGCAGTTTCTGTATCTGCCAGGCTTGCTTTAGTACCATTATGCAAAACTATCTCGTGCTTGAATATATAATCAGAGTATTTATAGAGTAAA